AGAACGACGTCATCAGGGATAAATAGATACAAACATTAGGAAAAAGGAATTGGACACCAACGAATTTTTCAGCGATATGCATTCAACATTTTCGGCCGGAAGACGTACAACATAAATTAATGATACTCCTACAAAGTGAAAAAACTCCTTATGAATGGTTGAGATCAAAATTGCTTAACGACGCAATACCTTCCCTTTTCCCGGGACGTCCGCATACAAAAGAAATGGCTTTAAGAAAACCACTAGATGAAGGAAGGAAAGAAATTTAATAAGACAAGAAATGAAAAACCAAAAAGTCCTTGTAAACGATATGGTATGTACTTTTAACGATATTAAATTTAATTTAAAAGAAAAAATTAGTGCAAATATTTTAGAACATTTTAATGTTCATAATGAAAACGATTTCTAGATTTAGCTTTGGAAGTAATTCCCAACGAATACAATTATGTTAATGAACTTATTTTTTTAGTAGATCAACTTAAATTACTTACAATTAAAAATAAGATACCTCGATATTCACAAAACACAATAGTAATTGCTCATTTTCAGTCAAGCAGTGCATATAATATTTTGCGACAATATTTAACATTACCACATTTACATTGTTTTTCAAATTCGCTAAATATATCCGCAAACAGTAGCATTTCAGACAATAATTAACATATTTCAAACAGCAAGTTGCAAGTTTAAAAAATATAAAACAGAAAGTAATTTTAATGATCGATGAAATATACGAGTACATAAAATCAGAATTAGATTAAAAAGCAGGTAACGTTAAAGGCTTCACAGAAAATATATCAGTAGAGTTAGCTGAAACGGATCAAACTTTTGCGGTGAAATCTGCATTTGATAATTTTTCTGAAGTAGTTCTGGTTATTACAAATAACAATAGTGAAAATAGAAAAATGTTTGAAATTTTTACAACCAATATTGATTTCTTCTCATCCGTGGGATTCAAATAAAACAGTTTTCTGCTGTTACGACTCAGTTCATAATTTTAAAAACATTCGCAACAATTGGTTAAATGTTAAAAATTTTAATTATTCAGTTTTATATTCTGATTTTCAAACAGGTGAAACAAAATATGCTAGTTTTACTGTCGTGAGACAATTATATGAAGAAGAAATCGGTTTGCCCGGCAAAACTGCCCATAAATTAAATTTTAAATCCGTGTATCCAAATACACTTGAAAGACAGAAAGTAAATGTAGTAGATAATATCTTTCATCATAGCACAACTGCCGCACTAAAATAATTTGATAATAATTCTGAAACTGCCACTTTCATAGCCAATTATTAAAACTTGGTGGGACATTGTTAACGTAAAATCAAAATTTAAAGGAACAGTAAAACGTAATGAAAATGCGGAGCCAATTACAAGTGGTGATGATGACAAAGTTAAATAATGTACATAAAGACCAAACTTTTAATAAGAGAAAATTAAAAAAATTTTGGTAATAATTTTGTCATTGAATAAATACTAGTTTTAAGATGAATATTCATAATTTTTGTTTTATTTAAAATTTTTATAATTTTTACTTTTAATTTTAAAATTTAATTTTGCTATTATTTAAATGATTTCGTTTAATACGTTTTTATTTTTCAAACGTCCCAAATCACCATGAACATTTCTAATTTATTCGAAAATACCTAATATAAAATATAAAATATAATATAATCTTAACAAAAAGTATGATAATCAATTTTCAATATACCGTATGAATGTAATTTACCATTATATTGTTAAGTCTTGTATAAAATTGTCTGTGGAAAATATCACCCCGAAGAGATTTCACCTTTACGCTGTGTGGTGGCTTATTTGCTACTGAACTCAAGAGCGATGTCGGTGGACACTGCAATCTTGTAGTGTCTGGCAGGTTCAGCCATGCCGATAAGGTCGGGAGGAAGGTTGCAAATTAAGAGAATCTCGCTAGGAGTGAAGCAACGGTTAAATCCTATCTTCAATAAGACCCAATGCCTCAATCCAACGATACGCGACCCGTGCCTAGTGGACTAGTTGATAGCGGGGGGTAATACTATGCTATCACAAACGGAGCCTCACTAATACCGGGTCAGCTCAGTGAGTAATTTGACGTTGCCGCAGTGTTGAACCTCTGCTGCGGTCGATTTTTCTTTGCCGCAATACTCGTTGGAACAGAGTGAAGAATGAAACAGCAAATTTGAAAACAACAACGACAACAACAATAATAGCACCAACAGTAACAACACCAACAAGGACATTGGTGTCAGGTGAAGAATCAGACTTTCCCGAAATACTGTTGTCACTGGAGGGTGGATCGGCCCATCCCAATGACATCGGAATGGGCAGTGATTTTGATGAGGATTCGTCTTTTGGATCTTCGTCCGATGGGGTTGATACATTCGACGAGAGTCAGTTGCTGGAGTCACCTCAAGAGGTGAACTTCACGATCGTTGAGATTGACTAGGCAACCCCTTCGATTACGAAGGCAATTGGGACGATGAAGCTAAAGAGGAAAAAGATATGTGGGTCGGCATGAAAAAAGCTGAAGAAGCTGAAGGTTTGGTCGGGTCCTTCGCCCAAAGAGGCACCCACCAGGAGATGGAAATGAAGATGGGCGGTCAGGCAGGGCAGCAGTTACGGCGGAAAAATTTAAGGATGCCATAAAGCCTGCGAGTCTTGCGGTGACTGCCAGTATTTCGGGGGACTTTACACCAGACGGTAAAGCGTCTGCTGATCGGTCCCTTGCTACTGGAGAAGCAAAGATGGAGGAGCTGCGCAGGAGTCGTCCCCCACTGCAGGCAGGTAGGAGACCTGCTGAGAATTAAGGGAAAAAGGAAGAAAAAAGCCTATTACCTCCTCAACAGAAGCTTCTCGTAGCGGAAAAGACGCCAGAAGAAAGTTCAGCAGGAAACGGCTAGAAGACAGTGGGGAACTGGCTTCTAGGGGACGAAGGAAGGACGAGAGGCGGCCTTCCAAAGATGGTCCGGGGCGCTCAAACCTTTGAAGGTAGTGCAGGCGATTCTGCATCATGCTAGGGCGACTTCGGCTGTCCTAGCCCGTAGATTTATGGGCGAGAGTGTGAAAATAGCTCTCCTGCAAGAACCATAACTTAGCAAAAAGGGTTAGCAAATCTGGGGGCTTGGCGAATCAGACGGAATATTGTTATACATTAACTTGATCACTTCTCCAGTTCGGAGGTTGTCCCCTTTCTGGATGGTGGAGGCTAATTTGGGATCCAATTGGCTACACATGGCCACAGGAGGCCAGTGAAGCAGTATTGGACGCTGGTCAATAAAATTGTCAGCTATGATTGGGTTAGGTGGATCATACGGTCATTAAAACGCTTCAAGTCTATGTCGGCCTGGTACTCACGTGGTTTTTTAGAGCCAGTCTTGCGTTTGAGTACGTCTCGCGTACATGGTCGAGTGAACTGGTGACTTTTTATTTAAAAGCTTAGAAAAGTTGTGGAAAAAATTGTGTTCATTAGAGAAACGTCTCTAACTGTGGACCCTATATTATGCATCAGTACGCCTATCAGGATGGAAAGTCCAACGAGATGGCTGTGCTGAACCTCACCTCTAAGATCAAAAAGTTCATGGAGCAAAAGAAGATTGCCCTGGTCGCTTTTATGGACATAGAGAGCGCTTTCCACAATACCTCATATGGATCAATTATGGTCGCCCTGAGACTGAGGGGTACTGATAAAATGGTGTGTGGATGGATCTTGCCACATCTGTAAGGAGGGCCTTGGTAGAGTTTGGCTACTTCCTTCTGCCCATGGTTGCATGGAGTGTGAACTAAAGTTCAATTTCGACAGGCTCTTCAGGGTTGTGCTTCCTAGTAGGGAAGGATGGGAGAAGGCGAAACCGGGATAGACGGAAATTGAATGATACACGGACAGGTCCAAAGCTGGAGATGGGGTTGGATTAGGTGTCTTTGTGTTGAAACCGCGCTTTAGGCTATCCAGAAACTTGGGGGGGTCTGTTATCCAAGTCTTTGTGTTGGACCTTTGTATACGTGAAAACGTTCGTAGGGGATATGTGAACAAGACTATCAACATATACTCGGATAATCATGCGGCGATCCGGGTGCTTGACTCGTACCAAGTCAAGTCGAGTTTCGCATGGGAGTATTTGCAGGCGCTAGTGGAACTCGGTAGAAGGAACAACGTTACCCTATCGTGGATCCAGGCGCAGGTAGGCATTTGGGGCAATGAGGAGGCGGACGCTCTTGCGAAGTCGGGGGCGATGATGGACTTTGTCGGACCCGAGCTATTCTGTGAACTATCTTACTGTCATATGAAGGGGTTTGGGGTGGAACGAATGGGACGCCTTCAACAGGATTGTTGGGATCGGGCGTCGGGAATGAGGCAGTATAGGAATAAAGAGCCTCGACTGCCTCATATGGAGAAATCAGACTGGTGGTGGGCCTCCTCACGGAGCACTGCAGGTTTGGCTATCATTTGCACAAACTTGAACAACCTGGGGACCGTTTCTGCAGATTTTGCCACGATGAAGATGAGACGGCTGAGCATATTGTCTGCTTTTGTGAAGCAGTTGCCAGAAGGCGATTGGTTCACTCGGGCGGATATGTGGTGGTACTCTTGGATTTGTGGGAGGTGGCGCTTGGGCGAATATATAATTTTGTGGGAGTCACAGGCCTAACTGGCGCTTTATACTGCAGTGACCTGGTCTGAGGTTGACTCCTGCCAATCTGCAATCTGCAATATAATCTAATCTAATCTAAATACTCATAGGTCTGAAAAAACAGCATATTCTGATAATTTTTAATAATTTAATCTTCTCAATTTAGTTAGGCAGAAGTGAGAAAAATTGTTTGTAAATATTTGAGAAAGTTCAAGCAAAAACAAATATAAAACCAATTAATTAATTTAACACATAATAATATTAAAGCTAAATTAAGACTTGAAAAAAAAAATAATTTTTAATATTTTACGTAAAGTACAATAACATTTTACAAAATTTTGTATGAAATGATGTCAAATGTGGTTAACTTACCAAAAGGAGTTTCATAAAGAAGAGTTTTTTCGATTTCATGTATATCATCGCCATCAATGTTTTCCAGTTCAGTTCTTCTAGGCGGCTTTTCAACTGGATTTACTTCAGTTAACAAACTTTTTTGCAATTCCATGATAACTGAACCTTCCAGAACAGAACCATTTTGTGGTTTTTCGAATTTGGATGTTATTAATCCGTTTTCACTCATTGTTGCTTCTTTTGAGTAGTGTCGTACTTTACGGCAATACCAACATAATACTAACACGATAACAATTAATAATAAAAGTAGTGTTATTGCGACTAAGCAAATTATTAACAATAAATTTGATGTGCTATCTGTATTTGGTACTCCAGCAATTAATTTATCAACATTAAGAGCTAATATTATATCAACTTCATCTTTTCCACCACGATTTTCAGTCATACAAGTGTATGTACCACGATCACTCGATTTTAAGCCAATAATTGTAAGTTCAGATACTAAAACATGATCGTAATCTTTTTTAAATGTTTCTAATGCACTTCGAATTTGTATTCTTTGTTCATTCGTATTTAATGGTCTTTTATTAAATAACCAAAAGACATCTGGTTTTGGTATGCCACGTATTCGGCACACTATAGTAACATTTTCCTCAGTTGCTTCAATATAAGATTGTGTTCTCGGTTGAATTATTTTAGGTTTGCAAGCAAAATGCTCTGTTGGTACTTCAGTCCATAATTTACCTTTTAAATGAGTTGGCTCGTAGCAATCTGTGGGAGGAGTATACAAATTTCGTGCAATTGAAAAGTCACGAAACGGTTGCAATTCACATGTACAATTCCATGGATTATATGCCAATGTTAAATCTACTAATTTTGTTATGTTTTCGAATGTTTCTTTCCGTAAAAATGATAAACGATTTGATTCCAAATAAATTAGTTGTAGACTTTCAACATTTATAAAAACATTCATTTCGATTTTTTTGATTCGATTATGTTTGAATTCAACACGTATTAAATATTTCATGTTATCGAATAATCTATTTTCCAATACTTCAATTTCATTATTATTCATAATCAAATTACGTAATCTTTGTAAACTTGCAAATGTTCCAACTGGCAATGCTCTAATATAATTGTTTGATAAATCTAGTTCGAAAAGGACTGCCAAGCCTTTAAATGAATCTCGACTTATTTCTTGTAGAGTGCAATTTTTCATATATATTTTGTGTAAATTTTGCAAGCTTGCATCGAAAAATTCTTCTCTTCTTATTTCTGGTATTTGATTGAGTGATAAATCAATAACTTGAAGCTCACCATTGAAAATTGTCGGTATCTTACTGAATGTTCGATTTTTGCAATCAGCTGTCTTTTTACCAGAATTCCAATGACAATGACATGGCTCACAATCCTGTAGCCAATCAGATCCACCTTCAATTAATGCTAAAGATTTTAATAAAAATAAGAAGAAAACAGTATTTTTTGTCAAATGTATTTTTAACTTTATATAGTTGCACATCAACATTTTGACTTAATATTTTTAATTGATGTTAGTATAATTTTTTTGATTTTTGATCCGTTGTATTAATACGTGTTATGAAAAAAACACAAAATTAAACTCATTGATATTCAATAATAAAAATAAAATTTAAAGTTTCTAATTGCCATAACGCTTACAATTTATTAAAAAATAAATAGCTAAATTGTGGTTGGTAGAAAATTTGTTTTTTTTTGTTTGATATAAAATATTTCTCACGATATAAAAAATTATGTTTATGGGTTTTAATCTAACTGATAGTATTTAACTTGTGATATTCCGTTTATAGAGGCATCAATTTCGGTATTTTTAACTGCATAAATTAAATATAACTAATTTATTGATATTTGCTTATGCACTTTCATCCACAAAATATTTTTATTGCCCGCCTCTAATTGATACATTTTGAGGTATTTTCTTATGTGTCATACTTTTTTGGTATATTTTATCCTCCTGACGTTTTAGAATTATGCTTTTTTTCCTTTTATTTTTTTTTTCCTTCTTTTGTCTTTATTCAGGGCAGGATATATTTAGTTTGTGCGCCTTGCTAGTTGCTTATTTTCTTCTTCTTCTTCTATATTATTTTTTGTTTTGACTCAAAAGTTTTTGCTGTATTTCGTGATTTTTTAAGAGAAATAATTTCGTTTTACTTTTCTTTAAAATTATCTGCTATTCAAAACATTACACTGCATTTATAAATTGTAACATAATAAATAAAAATTTGAATTATCTTTCCTTTTATTTTCACGTACGAATGCTTCCAAGTTAGCAAAAAAATATTTAAACTGATTATTTGAGGATTTGCTTATGCTGAAAAAAAAAAAAAAACAAAAATTTACTGATGCAAATTTAATTAATAATGCAACTTTTAAAAATTTAATAAAAAAAAGACAATTAAGAATATGAGAAAAAATGAATTTTAACTTCTAGCTATTTACATTCAAACTTGAATCTTTAGCTCCAAGATGCAGCAAAAAACCTTAAATTATTTAAAAATTCTTTCAAATAAACGTAAAAGAAAAATAAAACAGAAATTGAAGAAATAAAAAAGAAATAAAATAGTAGAAAAGTAAAAAAACATTGTTTTACGAGTACTAGTCAAATTTTAAAATTGTCAATTTGTTTCACCAGTAAAATTTGAAATGGCTTTTTTAAATTTTTTTGCTCTTTTTCAAAAAATATTCAGTTGAATAAATGCATATACATAATAATAAAAAAATAATTCATATTACAAAAACAAAACTCAGTTTTTATTGTAAAAAATATTATCTTTTCTTATTTAATCAAAACATCCAAATTGCAGACGAAGCAAAATATTTGTCACAATTTTTTACGAACATCACATGATTCAAATTATTTTTTTTTATTTGCATGTGATTAATGCATGGGCATATTATACTATATGGGTAGAGTGTATCAGAATGTTTTTGAAGCAAGCGTAGAATATGATTTATATGCTGCAACATCAAAAGTTGTAGCCAGCGTAGACCAAAAAGTAATAATAATTTTCAACCCGTTGAATTTTTTGTGTGAAATTTTATACAAAATATAAACCAAATTGTTAAAGTTTTATTAGAACTGGTGTTTTTTATTTTGTCCATTAAGTAATTTAATAAAAATTTGAATTTTGAAAAAAAAAATTTTTTTTCTCCACAAATGACACAAATTTATTAATATTTCGTTCTGATTGTTGTTGCTAAGAAATATTTAAAATTTGAAACTTGGTAATGCTAATTTTCATAAAACATTTATGTTTCGTTTGACAATTTGTCAAAATTTGAAAAAAAAATTTTTTGTTTGCAAAAACATCCTCCTGACGTTTTTAAGTTAACAAAGTCTGGCTGTAATATGAAATTTTAAAAAATATTAATTGTACGATGCAGTCAATAAACCTTTTTGTTATTTTATAAATAAGTGTAATGCAAATAAATATAAGCGATAAATCATTTCAGATTAAAAAATTGTTATACATATTTATATTGTTATATTATAATATTATATTTATATTGATTTCCAGATGTACGGAGAAAAAATATTCGTCAAAGTTAAACGAAATTTATACATTTTTCTGATCAATGATTTTTTTGCATTTTGTACCTTTCTTTTTCTTTTTAATTTCATATAATTTTACTTAGTGTGTATAATCTGTAATATAATTAACTATATCACAACTAACCTTATTAGCTTATTATATCTTTTTAAGTTTAAATAATTTATTAATCTTTAGTACAATCTTTAACTTTACAAAATTAGTTTCTACAATTTTTCTTTTAAGAATTTAATTATAATTATAATTAATTATAATATTTTAAATTGAAGTTTTATCAATTTCCCATAACTTTTTCCCCTTTTTTAAATATTTTTAAAGGTAGCAATATTATTACTTTTCAAAGAATACGCTCTTTATGCTAGCTTCATTTTTTTTTCTACGTAAAACATATACGACTCACTATCCAAGTGTTATTATTCATCCATGGATTTACGTTACTTTAACTGTCCAAAATAGATAAGTGATGCAAATATGTAAATTCTTTATAAATATATATTTATAAGCAATGTTTTCTATTTATAAAGAAAATAGTTTGCTTCGTTATGATTTTGATTTATTTAGAACCTTATTTGCAATTTGGATGCCACAATTATAATCAAAAATCTATTTGCAGTTTTACTTCTAAAAAAATTCCTGGTAATTATACAGTTTGTAAGTGTTCACATACTCGTAAGTGTTTTTATTTCTGTACTGAACAAGTAAAGCCTATTTATTTTACATTTCAATTCTACTAATTCTCTTATTTTTTATATCCGTACGAACGTATGTTCGAAGGGTATACTAAATTTGCCTTACCGCTTGTAACGCAAAGAAATAATGGTTTTAGATATAGACTCATTGTGTAAGTGTATGATCAGCGTCGAAGTTTGAATCGATTTAGATTTGTCTATCTGTTCGTCCGTCCGTACTTCCGTCCCAAAGATAACAGAAAATCTAATTGAGCTAAGTTCACCAAATTTTCACAAATGATTTATTATAGTGAATGTGTGAACCCTATTTAAATTGGATGTGATCAGGGTACTGGTTCGGGTAGCTGCCATATAACATCAAAGTTTATTTGACTATATCTCAGAAACTATAAGAGCTATTGAAATTTCACACATGCGAATATATTAGTAGGGGCAATGTGAGAAAAGTCGTCGAAATTGCTTTGCTCCTTCTGGTAGCCGCCATACAACTTCTAGATTTATTTGACTATATCTCAGAAGCTATAAAAGCTGTGGTATTGAAATTTCACCCAAGCGAATAAATTACTTGTGCCAATGTGTTTGATAAAATTCGTTGCAATTGCTTGGCTCCTTCTGGTAGCTGCCATAGAACTTCAAAAGTAGTTTGGCCATATCTTAAAAAATATTGAAAACACATAGGATAACAAATTCGCACGGGCATCACAGAGTTGACATGGTCAACTCTACTTTTTCTTGTTTTTTTTTTTTGAAGGAAATCACCGAAATGAGACATTTAATGGGAAGCGCAAGGTTGAAGTACTGTAACATTCGAAATCACTAAAACCTTCTATCAGACCTTGCAAATTAAACTAGTTCTAAAGGCTAACCATTAATACAAATTTGGCTGTCGAAAGGTTTTGCAGACATCTATGATTCACAAATATTCCAATAGGAGAACTTGATGAATATAATGTTTTTATTATCAATTATTGGTTGCAATCTCTTCAGAAATAATTTTTCAAAAAACTTTGAGACAACTGGAAGCAAAGAAATTGGCCTATATGATGACGTTTCATTTAACTGCTTTCCCGGCTTTGGTATCATAATTATTTCGGCTACTTTCCAAATCTCGGGAAAATATCTCAATCTAAGTACCGCATTCATAATTTTTACCAGAAGTAATATAGCTCTTTCTGGAACATGTTGCAGGACCTCAGCCGTGATTAAGGTAAAAGTCAGACTTTTCTTGGATTAATGCTTTCAAAGAAATTTTCTTCCGTGTCAGGACTCTTTCTTTTAAGTTTTGTTTAAAGCTAGCCCAGTCTGTAGAAGCATTGCAAAGAGATGCTTTAGTTTCTTTTATTACCACTTTGTCCCTAAGTGGTAACATCGCCGAATGATCGGATTCATTTTCTGCAATTTTTCTTCTAATGAAAAAATTTATAAGGTCTGTTTAAATCGATAGACCAATATGTTGGCTTATCCGTCGAATGAAATAAACAAATTGTTCCTCTTATGTCTCCTCCCATGACGAATCTGTCCCCCAGTAATTGAATTACTTCTTTAAATATATGTTTTTTGGTTGTGTAATTCGGCGGACAATATATCGCTTACACTTGCAAGCTATACTTAGTTGTTTTCACTTGAACTAAACTTAACTGTATCTCCCTGTTTTCAACTTTACAGAACTCATGATGTTAAATTGATTCCTTAATTAAACAGCACTACCGTATTGTGATATGTTGTCCGGATGCACTGGAGGGTAAACCTTATACCCTCGAATCATTTGTCGACAGTTGTGACTCTGTGACACAAGACATATGTCTATATTTTCCAAATGTAATATAGTTTGTAACTCCAATTTCTTTTGGAGAAGACCATTGGCGTTCCAAGTCAGAATGCTTATCATATTGTCAGCCACCATCTTTTAATCTACTACGCGGTCTTAATTCGTATCAAGTAATATAGTAACTTTGCTCAAGGTTGCCCAATCTTAGACTAATTCTATCTAATAATTTTAACACAAGTTTCATTCTTTGCCATACATGGTCGTCATTTGACTTTGTTGCTGTTTGCATTTGTATTTTGTTTTCCCTTTTGATTTGGTGTCTTTTCTTGAAACTTTTTGCTGCGTGTTTTTGTATCTGTACGATGTTGTATTTATTTTCGATCTTGAGACTCAGCATTTGAGTACGAAAATCCATTTTCGTTACTTTTACTTACTCTTACTGATATGAATATCTTTGACTTTGAAGTACTCTGTATCGATTTCCTGATATTTTTTCTTAATTGCATATCTTTTATACTTTACACCCTATATAGTTGGGTGGGTGGGTTTGCAGTTTGCACATTTTGGTGCGTTGGACCAAATAATTCCCTTATTATTGGAATTATAGAATTGTAGTACGACTCCTGCAAAGTAGGACACATTTTATCAATTTGCTCGAACATGGCACATGTTTTGGCCATTCATAAATATAATGTTGCTTCAAAAGAAGCATATAAAACCATATAAAAGAATGGTCTAAAAAACACTTTTAAATATTAATATTTTATTTTTTTTTTATCCAACAGAGATTTCGGATTAATAAGGGTATATCATTTTTATAAAAAATAGAATTTATTGACAGATCGGTGATATAATCATTTTCTCATTTTATGTGTTTTCCATATAGTGTCGGCTTGGTCCCTGAGTCATAAATTTTTATTTTCCATCAGAAAAGAAAATAACTTATTTTTAGAAAACTATTTAAAAGATTAATTATTTCAAGGGAATTTTTAGAAGCTGCCAATAACACAGTATCTGCTTTCTTTAACTGGTCTAAAGTTATTCACTTGTTTTGTGTAAAGGCTAAAATAAATCAGCTCTACCACTTGTAGAATCCTACGAATTACGAATATAACTACGTAGACTTAGGAATGATCACAAATTCCTTTCGTAGAGATTGTGAATCGGAAATGTCAACACATTCTTTCGGAGTTTCAAAATCAGTATTTTATTTTTACTGTCAAATGTTTATTTTTATTTCATGGCAGCTATTTCAGAAAACCACTTTCATAAAAAAGAATATTTTTCAAAACATTCATGCAAAAGA